TTAGTGGCACACGGACACGCTGTTCAGTTTTCTTCTGTCAGAATCGAGTAGCATCAAAGGGACAGCATCCCAATAGTGGGTCTCATCTGGAGAAAAGAGTTGAACAATCTGCGAATCCTACCGACGATTCCCATTCCTCAAGTCTTAAAACGGTAAGTCTAGAGTTGTAGTGTTTCATCTGCAACAGTATCTGATCAGAGTATTTGTACTCATCTAAATCATACGGATACGTCAACAATAAGTTTTCGAGCTGCTTTTTTCCCAATAACCTTGTTGTTGTCTTTGCGTATCGTCAGTCAGCCTGTTTATGCTATAGACTGATGATGGTCATCTCTCCGCTCCAGCAGACAATGTTTGGGCTAAACGACAAGAAGAAAGAGAATCGCAAGAACGTGAGAAGGTGCGCCATTCATTCTACATGTGTTGCTTGTCTCATTATATCTTTCCGTCATACTCGGATATCTGTTCCTTCGTAAAAGCTGGGATTGATCAGTTCGATTTCGTTGTTTGCTTGTGAGGTTCAAAGATTCGTCCCGGCTTTTCCAGCTTTCGCGTGTACCAAAAATCATGCAACAAGCAATTGAGCAACACTTCCCTTCTGTTTCTGAAGCTGCTTCGATAAAGGTGGATAAGGTAGGATCACTTTGATCTCATCAATTCATTTGCACTGATAATTTCTAGGACACCGCGCGACGGCCAGCTGACTCTGACTTTGCCCGTGCCACATTGAGGGCTAGACGACAACAGGGTAGCAATGATGTGCGCCAACTAATGTACTCTGAGGATGCGTATCAGCGCCGAGCTCCCTCGCATGTGCAACGACAAGAAAGTGACGGTGATTACCGTTCTCAAGCTCCTATCAAAATCGCTCAAAAAATAGAAACACGGAATGATCACAAGGAGGCGGCCAATGCAGAAGCTTGGAACAAAAGTAGGTCATATACAGAATTGAAGGATTGGAAAAATAATTTTCTTCACACCTTCGCATTCGGGCTGCGTCCAGGGTCGCCCGTACCAGTGAAATATCAGGACAGCACGCCAGGACTTAATGTGAGGACGGGAACAAGCAGTTGCTGTCGCGAGATGCGGACGCATCGCATCATCGTGCCGGTCCTGCAGCTGACGCGGAAGGGAACAAGCGCATACCACTCCCATTTGGACAAAAATGGATTCTTTCCTGTAGTAAAACCCTCTCTAATCTTTTGAACAAACGGCAGTAGAACGCTATATCGGAGGCAGGCCGTTCTCCCCGCTTACAGTTTTCACGAACGATGTACTTCTACGTAACACAGTCAGTACCTACCGGTGGTATATCGCGCTCTCTTTAACGTAAACTTTTCATGGAGATTTTTCGAGATGGCCGTACAGCTTGGTTTGGCACCCAAAACGCTACCCCTACATAGTCTTTTCCGAAGGCCTAGTGCCCTTTATAGTTCAGCATGCTAGAGCTACGTAAGAGTATATGAAGAGAAGGTCAAAAGGAAACAGTTTGTTTTTTGCACACCTGAATTGCGAGCATCTGTCCTAGATTGTCAGAAAAGGCACCGTCCACCAGATCTTCGACTTCCATGTTTTGGTCGTTCCAGGGCCTTCTCGTGTCCCTGAATTCGGATATGAAGTCAGAGATTTTGCGGCCACCCGCGC